TCTAAGAACCTAATCGCATAGGAGGGCCCTTGTTCTACCGACTGTATACGAGGGTGGATAGATCGCAGCCCCATCGGAGGCCTTATGATATATGTGGGCGGCGTGTACTTGTATCTTTTCATAAACCGCTTGATCAAATTTCTTAGTTTTATAATCATAAGAGGAGGAATCCGTTGCTATTTAGGTACCCAGTATGGACACATACGTGCCTAACGTAGAGGCGGCAAGATATCTTAGTTATATAAAAAACGAATCTATCGTCCCCGGGGTACCCAGGATGTAAATAAACTATATACCTTACATGAAGGCGGAATGAATGAAAAACACCTGGGGAACCATACGGTACGTTTAACGGCAGCCAATGTACTCTTATCTTTGTTACAGTAGCGCTAGCCCGAAATCCGTCTGTTTCCCAATCATATAATTAAAAAGAGAGATTCATAGTTTCCGGTACACCCAGGACGTAACAATATATTATATAATTTTTTTGTATTAAGTATTTTCTTATATATATAGTGTTACGCCCGTGTCTTGATACCCGCGCTTTTAGCACCCTGAACATACAGCTGATTCTCTTGGCAACGAGTCGTAAACAACAGATGATCAGCGTTGACGGATAAACAACGAGTTAGAGAGATTCTCTCTGGGGCGGTTGAGTCGTCATGACGTGCGCGACGGTTGTATATATATATATAAGAAACAGATAATTTTTATGTATATTATCAAATAATTGTATTTTTTCGTTCTAGGAAATATTTACCATTAGATCATTGTAATATTCAAAATAATTGGATTTTTTGATCTTGGAAAACAATGTACTTCACTTTAATAAGATTATTAAAGTAGTTTAAGAAATCTTTACTTAAATGTAAAGCATAAAATAATGTATTCAAAGTAAATACATATTTACTTAAATCTAAATACTTTTACTTATATAGAATGAACAAACGCTTGCATCAAAAGATATGGTTTTAAGAAAATGTATTTTCTTCATTAAAAAAAATTTTCTTTGTATATATCATAATATTTTTTCCTCATAAATTTACATGTGTTTGGGATTTACTTAAAGAAATTTATTCTGGGATTTATTATATCTATAAATAAAGCTTTAATAATAATAACAATAATAAGAATAAATAAAGCTTTAATAATAATAACAATCACAATAATAATAGTATAGAATTTTGCAATAGTTACTTTGCAAGATTGATCAACAAATCGAAGAACAAATCAAACTTAATGTTCTGTTAATTAATTATTGTATACAGATCAGCATTGATAATGTTTGAAATAACAAATTTATAATACATGATAATTGATAAAAATAATAATAACAATGATGATAATGGAACGGACATATCTAAGGAAAGAAATAAATTCCAAATTGCAAAATCAATAGTACGAGATAGGATGTGTATATAATTGTTAAGTTTGATTAATCAGCATTTATTTGGAAGTACGGTGTGGAAAAAATTCACGAATATACTCCTCTGCTTATTTATTTGCTTCTGTCGGAAATTGATCATATTTTTAATTTGATTTGTGGCTTTTAAGTCCAAGCTGGTATTATTTTCCACATATTTCGTTACCTAAAACAGATTAACTTTCAACATGCCGTCCTAATATGTAACGTTAATGCATCTTAATGTCAGAAATCTACGTCATGGCGTAAATTCTTGCATAATTGATATGCGACAATACACGAATGTGGAACTTGATGAAAATAATTGAGAAGATGTCAGACATACAAGTTAACACACAAGAGTTTGAAACGCTACATCCTGAAGCTTACCATGTCAAGTTGACATTTAGAATACAAGCTCATAATAATGTCAGCTATTTCCTGTATCTTAGTCATGCTGGAACATTGAAACAACAGATTCGTCGTAAGTAGATGCGACAAGCATGTATTGGTAAGAGACGTCCTACATTGTAAAAAAAATACTACTGTAAAAAAAACCAGCATTACCCGTGCTCTATTTTATGGAGAATGCTAAGGATGTAATCCAGCACTTGATTCTTTCTTGCGTGCCTCTTTACAATGTCATGATACAATTTCTTCATCGGCTCTATTCCCAATTTTTCCCATTTACCATGAGGCTTGGATATGGTCAGGTCCAAATACAATAGAAGCAAGTGATCGTTTTCGGCACAGGCCATGTGTTTTAACATTTCATTATTCCCTTTCATTATATTAAGCATCACTTCAGACCAATTTTGGATGTTGTAGTTCATGATACCCGCACAAAACGTCCAGTCCCTCCATCCTGGCAAAATTCTATGTGAAACATGAAATGACAAACAAAATTTCAATAAGCATTTTTCTTCAGATCTTACCACAACTTGGTGATTTTACAAAACGTTGCATGAAAAATATGATCAAGCAAGAGGAGTTATCAATTAATAATTAAGAAATGATCTCGGTTATTTGGGTGATAATTACGGATTATTGCCGGGATCTTTGACGTATGCTACCAGTTTATCGTAAGCCATCGTCCTACATTTAGCATGACCGTGTTTACAGACCCAATTAAGGAGTAATAATCGTGTTGCTTTCAGCATGTCATCGTCTTTAGAGTTTTCGTCATATCCGATTATCGTCAAAACTTTATCCATGATCCTCAACATATATTCCTGAAAGAATCGTTAAGTAATATTAATTGTTTGTACGTTTTGCATATCGCGCATGTCTAACTTCGGAAATTTATATCTTTATTGCCTGAGATCCTCGTGTATGCAGTCAGCATCATGTATCCTGTACCATTTTCCTAGATTGAAACTTTTTACTCTTTTACTTTTACACTTTCATTCTTATACAATTGTTAGCTTTCCACATATACACATGAAATTATTATAATTAAAGCCATTTTAACCTTATATAAGTAAAATTGCTCTCCTACGATTTTCGACCTTATATGTTATGTATATAAGGCTAAAAATCGTATATCTTTCCATCTAGGGAATGATACAACATATATGATCGACTATAGTAAATTTAATACATCAAACGTCTTAGGCTATATTCCGATATTCACTCTCAGTCCTGAAAATCTAAAGTATACGTAACATGAACTATATTTTTTCAGCGCTGACATTGAATTTTTTTGAATACAACTTTAATATCGGGATATTTCTATTTCTGTCGCTATGTACCTTGAACTGTTGACTTTCTGGGAAGTTGAAGAACGGCGAAATATATTGCAAGACGTTCATCATACTATGCCATACTATATAATTTGTCTCTTTCCGTAAGAAATCGATCAGATCGCAAAAGAGCGAGGAACTTATTTCGCCCTGCATTAAGAAATGATACGCATCATCGATGATTTGCGCACGATTCAGAACATGTATCTTCGTGTGATCGTTGTTGTTTAGGTAGTTCGCGATTTTTTTCCAGTTTTCTTGGTAATGAACACGATAATAGCCTGACGTAGAAACAAATGAGCCGGTTTCTTTGCATATCTTTTTATGACCGTTTGCAACCGATGAAATCGAACAAATGGTCGGTACTTACCGAATTGTTCCACGTTAAATATAACCAAATCTTCTCGTGAGTACACATTAATATCTAATGAACTCTTTGCGTTCTGCAACAAATTGTTATCCAACCATAATGCAGATAAATCTCTTCCGAAACGAAATTGTGATTCTGTCGCGAATATCACTGGTATCGGCCATTTGTTTTGTCCTTGCGAATCTTTATTATCATAAGATTTAACTGACATACCACCATCATTTTCTTCAACAAGCAATGTTGGATAACGTCTTTGCAAAAGCCAGATATGCATTACCTCCGTTATGTTGCAATTGCAATTTATATATGATCGGATCATTTCGTTGTTCAGGATATTGAAGAAATCGTTTGGCGTGGCGGAGCTGTAAGCACTGCTCAAATAAAATATTCTTCTCAGTATCGCGGGAATATCAAACACGATGATATCTCGAACTTGATGTCAACGAATTACTTATTACGTTCTTATCCGTTTTACCGATTGATTCATTGATCAAAAAACAATAATTTTCTATACAATTGACGGAACAATATAATATGTTGAAATTGTTATTTATTATAGAATTATCACATTGTATTTTATCATGACACATTACTTACTAGGTATTTAAATACTGAGCAAAGCCTTGCTGCAACACTTCCTCTGTGACGATATATTGCAACATTCTTATCATGGCGGATGCTACGATGTATAATGCAGGTAATGAAAAATGTAACAGATAAAATATACTTGAAACAAAATGTAACAACTTGTATATGATCTTATTGTCACTTGTATATGATCTTATTGATCATTATCGACACACAATAGATGATGGTTAATTCTAAAATATTCAAATGTGTTCTTCCCATTGGTCTATTGTATTATTGATTAATTAATTCTCTATTGTATTATTGATTAATTAATTAATTAAGTTAATTACTGCATTGTAAATTGCAAAGACAAATTAATCGGCTGTTAAAGTGTATCATGACATTGTAAAGAGGCACGCAAGAAAGAATCAAGTGCTGGATTATATCTTTAGCATTCTCCATGCATCTTGTGTTGTTTTGTTTCCATTTGCGGCAATTCGTGAGTGATTGTCCGGTTATATCTAATCGATATGACCGTACTTTTATTTTATCTTTAATATATTAGTATATTTATGCTTATACTGTGATTTTTATACGTCCTTACCTTTTTTATAAATGAGAGAAGAATAAATCGGATCATATTTGTGCATAACAGGTGGCACATTCATTTCAATATCGTTATGCAGAGCAGGCTGTAGAACCTGCACTACAAAAAGTTGCATCATGACATCTTCCCCGTATTCCTCCTGAAATTAAAAGTTGTAAGGGACAAACAGACGTCGATAGTAAGACTCGCTAAACATAGCGATGCGTTTTTCATCAATGTTAAAAACAAAAAAACAGATATCTATAGAAATATCTATAGAAATATCTATAGAAAAAAAAACAGATATCTATAGAAATTTCACAATATAGCAATAACATATGATATATCTATGTGTAACACATGGTATCATATGATATGTCTACGTGTAACACGGAATAATTTAATTTCCGCTAAATGTTTTAAATTCTGGTATTGCAAAAGTTGAAGCATTGTAACAATTATATTTTGTTTCATCGGTGTACCAATGATATGTTCATCAAGTCTGATAGATCCGCACAAAACTCCCCAGGCGTCTCTTTTAATTGTCTAAATAAAATCGCGTGCCATCAATACTAACAAGATACATGTGAAGATAAATCACCTTCTTAGCGATTTTATAACTGAGAAACGTTGCAAGTGCATGGCTCAGCCACTGGTGAGACCACTCCATTGGGCTGACGAAACTCTCGATGCACTGTCGTGTCATTTGTCTAGCTACCATATTCCATATTTCAAGTTCGCGTCCGGGAAAATGCAAATCCGGTTTGTAAATGAGATCACTTTCTCTGAAAATTATATTTCCAAATAAGTCATGTCGAGGAACGTTTTTAAGGATGTATTTGTATCATTCATTAGTGCCGTATTTGTAATTTTTTCATAATTTTTTCATTATATTTCAGTTATGGACAATATATCTTGAAATTAATTGCAGGTACTAAAGTAATTCGGAATTGCTGACAATTTAAAATATCAAATATTCTGTCCGTCAAAGCTGTTTCTTGTAAATTAAACGACTTTATATACACTTATGTCCGGGACGAACCTCGACAAATACGAAATCGAATCTCGAAGGGCTGAGAATAGTTGTTCTCGTTCTCCCTTTGTCTCTGTAGTATTATGACGTGCGTTACCTGAAAGCTGTGAAGCCCCAGGCTCCCACAGCGTTACTCGGAAGATTCGGATACAAGAGAATGCTGATTATCATATTTCTCCACAAATTGTTCGTGTATTTTTTTAAAAACTTATCGGTCAAAACAGCGATCCTTTCGATGATATCGTTCGGATCTAAACGTAAATCCTGCTCAAGCAATCGGCCCCACAATTTAAAGTTACCCTTTTCCGCTAAATATAAAGAGGCTTCAGTAATCGCGATCGTTACGAGGTAAGTCGACATCACCGGTGAAGGCTCGAAGATCATCTGCATCATTCCGCGCTCCGGCAATATGTTTTTCTCCTTGTGCGTCGTGCTCGAGAAGAGCTGTACTGAGGATGAATGCACGACAGAGATGTTGAAGGTTGCCTTGAACTTCGGCTCATCCCAACATGGAAAGACACGTCGAGCACCAATCGGTTCAAAAATTGTTATATACGTCTTCCTACTTACATTTCAATAACAATATTTCAATATTCACAAAACAATCCTGTTGTGAAATATTATCACTAATTACACGTGAAGGCATTACAAGATTCGGGCAACGTTAGGGATATTCTATAAAGGAAAGAAACTCTATACAGTTCCACTTAAAACAGTAAAACACATTCTTGTGATTCAACAATAATTTTCATAAATTAATATGGGAAAATGTTCCATAGAAAGAACGATATCTTCAAACTGATGTGTACAATAATAAATAAAATTTCTAATTTGAAGATATCGTTCTTTTTAATATTTTTTCATCTCAATTTATGAAAATTATTCTTGAGCCTCTATGAGTCACAAGACTATGATATTTTTAGTGAAACTATATAGAATTTCTTTACATAAGCAAACTTTATCTTTATAAAAGATTACATATTTTTGCTTATTTTATAAGAATATGAATGATACTAATTTTTTTTCCATGTACATATGTGGCAAGAATTGCGAACAAAATAGAGAATATTACCATCACATAGTTGCGAGGGTTATCAATTCGATGAAAATTGGACGAACATCACGCAAATATAAGAGCAGAGCAGAAAAAAATTTTTAATATTTTATTTGTTACTCACTCGTCAGTTATCATGTCATTACTGGTCACAACCAAGCCTTGGTCGGTGTGTGGAAAGGTGTTGAACCTCATGCTTAGCGTGTAATTCCCTGGGGATAGTTCTTCGAAAAAATTAAAAACACACATCTGCATTTCATACTTGTAATAAACTGACATCAACAATGGAGTCGTATATTGTTGATTATTTTCTTGTTCATGCCTCAAAAGCCTTATCGATTCTGCATGGAAGTTCAAATTGTAAGCGTGAAAAGTAATGTTTGCTGTTGTACGGGTTATTTCGATGATTATATTGCTCTCCCCTTCGAAAGCGTTCTCCATCTGTATCAGCATGATATTATAATGTCGGGGTATTACTTCTGACGGTAAACGATAATCGAGTGCATCGACTGAACAAATTTTCAAATCCAGACAGTTATCATTCGCCATTACGGCGGTGGATATCAGACAAAAGCTGAACAATAGATCGAGGAACGTCACGCCGATTCTTATTCGAGTCATCTGTAAAATTATTTTTCTTTTTAACGAAGGACAAGAGGCGACGTAAACAAAAGCAGATGTACAATATTAAATTTAATTAAATAGCGGTCCAATTAATAGATAACGTTATAATATTACTTTATTCGAGACTGCTTTCTTTTACCTTTGTAAATAAGCAGCTATGTCAGGACTCGATGTCGTTACAAGATCGAATAGATCTGCGAGCAGAGAGCACGAAAGTTTATAAATATCTTACCCACAAGTTTTTTATATCGATATGTTAGAACAAGTATCAGTGTCCCGATAAAATAAACAAACGTTCTGTTTTAAGTTCAAAACAATTTGCCTGATTTTATACCATCGTTGTTACGAACTTCGACCGACGGCAGGATTGCTGTATTCTTTATTTTGCACGAAATCGACCGACCGTAAATCAAACAAAATTTAACGTTTTGTTAATTCATTGCTATTGTCGTCAGCGTCGATGATGTTTGAAATAACGAATGCGTGATACATGATAATCGATAATAATAATAATAATAACAGTGACGATAATGGAACGAATTAATCCCAGGAAGGAGAAAGAAAAAATCTATTTTGCAAAATCAACATTAATATTCAAATTTATTTGTACGAAATAGGATACGCGTACAGTTGTTATGTCTAATTAATCAGCATTCATTTGTAATTTCCAAGTTCAGCTATGTTCATGAGAGACGAAAAAAGGTTTAAAAAGCTCCTCCTGTTTCCTTATTTGTTTCATTCGAAAACTAGTCACATTTTTAATTTGATTTGTTACTTCTAAGTCCCAAGTGACATTGCCTTTCTTGTATGTCAATATCTAAAACAGATTGTTGCCATCTCAATAAATAAAATTAATTTATCATATTGCGTCAGAATACTTCGTCGTAGCGTAATCTCTTGTATAATTAATACAAGACGATACACACGGCGAATATGGAACTTAATGAAAATAATTGGGAAGGTGTGCGTCAACGAGAGTTCGAAACGCGACACGCTAAAGCTTACATTATTTAATTGGCTTTCGGAATAGACGCTCATAATAATGTGAACTATTTTCTGTACTTTGGTCAATTCACTGGAACAATGAAACAATATATTCGTCGTAAATAGCCACGAAGAGCAGGTATATGCCAACGAACACTCTATATTCTAAGAAAAAACCAGCTTTACCCGTTTGGTATTTCGTCGAGAATTTCAAGAACTAAATCCAGCACTTGATCCTTTCTCGCGTGCCTTTTCACAATACTGTAATATAATGTCTGTATCTGTTCAGTTTCAAGTTCTTTCCACTCAATAAGAAGAGGCTTAGTTGTGATCAGTTTCAATAAAAAACTGAGCATTCGATCGTCATCGACACAGGCCATATGTTTTAACATTTGTTTATCTTTTTGCATAATGTGATGCATTACTTTCGATATCCATCTTTCGGTGCGTCCGTTCATAACACCCGCGCAAAACATCCAGGCCTCCCATTCCGGTAAAATTCTACATGGGACATGATATGAGAAACAAAAATGCAATAAATATTCTACTTCAGGTCTCACCGCGATCTACTGATTTTATGAAACGTTATGCGAGAAATATGATCAAGAAGAAGGAGATATCAATAAACAATTGAAATAGAGAATTTCTCTTTTCCTCTCTCAGTTATTTAGATAATTACGGTTTTTTCTTCTCGGAATCGTCGATGTGCATCATTAGTTTATTGTAGGCCCACTTCCTGCATTCAACATGGCCATGTTTACAGACCCAATTCAGGAGTAATAATTCTGTTACTTCTATCTGAATGAATTCAGATTTTTCATGAAATCCGAGCGTCGTTAAAGTCTCATTCATGGATTTCAACACCAATTCCTAGAAAAATCGTCAAATAGTAGTAATTTTCACGTCCTACTTCGGCAATTTAATACGCCTAAGTAATTTATATGTAAATTCGATACATCGGACAATTTAACGTCAAACTATTTTTCGTTTTTGCTGTTATGTACCTTGAAGAATTCAACCGGTCTTCCTGGGAGGTTGAAGAATGACGACATATACTGCAAGACGTTCATCATACTATGCCATACTATAAAACTCGTCTCTTTCCCTAAGTACCGGACCAAACCGTTGAGGATCCAGTTATTTAAACGGCTATCCATTATAGTATGATACGCATCATCGATCAGCTGAGCACGATTCAGAACGTGTATTTTCGTGTGATTTTTGGCCAAGTATTCCAAAATTTGCCACCAATTATCATCGATGTATCGGACACGGTAGAAGCCTGTCGTAGAAACAAAAAGTCAGTCTTTTGGATTGTTATCTAATAACCGTGTTCTGCGATGAAATTAAACGAACGGCCAATACTTACCAAATTGTTGTATGTTACTTATGACCCACTGACTCTGATCATAAAAACCCGACAAATTTACCGACAATACTTCCGACGAATTTAGCCAGAACGTAGGCGAATTTTGCGTGAAATTAAGGTGTTCCTTTGTCGTGAATGTTGTAGGTATCTGCCATTCATTTCTCGAGTGACTGGACTTTTCTAGCGAATTAGATACATTAATCGATATCGTGCCATCTTTATATTGTCGAACCGTTAATACTGGATAGCCTCTTTCCGACAGCCATGTTTGCATCATTTCGGCTGCATTATAGCGGTATGTACAATCTGATCGTATTTTGTTTTTCAGGATCGACAAGAAATCGTATGTTGTAGCGCTGCTGTAAGCACTGTTCAAATAAAATGTTAATTATAACATCGATCGCGTGAATACCGCACAACATGATAACTTGAGTTCGAAGGTAACTAATTACTTGTTACTATGATTATTCATTTCACCTATTAATTAATTTATCCAAAAATACAAAAATTTGTAACATAATGCTTGCAAATTGTATTTTGACGTAGAATCGCGATTACATAGTAGAAATTGTTATGTAATTTGTTAAACTTTACTAATTTGCGTATAATTGTCGCATTTTATCGTATTGTGACGCATTACTTACTATCTTTTTAAGTATTCGGCAAGAGCCTCCTGCAACACCTTCTTTGTGACGATGTATTCAAACATCCTCATCATAGCCGATGCTACGATATGGTGTAAGTCATAAAAAGTAAAGGAGATAAGATAAATTGAAAATAAAATATAATATACAATACATACGTGCATGATGATTTTATTTCCTCTACCAACACATGATAGATAATAGTTAATTCAAATATATTCAAATATGTCTCTTCCACTAAACTAGTATAATTAAATTCTAACCGTCAATGTATTAAAATAAATTACAAACACAATTTATCAGCCAATAAAATATAGTACAATATGTGCGTATAATTATTTTTCGTTATCGATATCTTCGATGATTGTTACTTTTAAAATATTTATGTGTGTGTATGCGTGTGTGTATTCTTTCTATTGAGCTAATGTAATTAAATTCTATTAATTCGTGTGTCAAAGAAAATAATTAATTGCAAAGTCAAATTGACCAACTAATAAAATATATTCTATTTTGTGTTGTTTGCATTCGGCAATTTGCGAATGATTGCTCCCAATTATATTTAATCGGTGTGACTTTTTCCTCATCTTACCTTTGATCAACAAGCATACTTATGATTATATTGACGTGTGATTATAGTGACGTTAACACGTTCTCACCTTTCTTATAAATGAGAGAAGCATAAAACGGGTCGTATTCGTGAATGACAGGTGGTACCCTTAGTTCAACATCGTTATGCAGAGCAGGCTGTAGAACCTGCACTACAAAAAGTTCCATCATGGTATCTTCATCAAGTGACATCTAAAATTAAAATCTAAAATTAAAAGTTGTAAGAGATTAAGAAGATTAGAAAATATGTTAAACTTAGCGAAACGTATTTCATCATTAATAAAAACAAAAATCAGATATTAACACAAATTTCATGGTATAGCAATAACATTAAATATCTATGTATTATATAGAACAACTTAATTTCTACTGAATATTTTAGACTTCTTGAAATCATTGCAACAATAAATATCACCGTTGCCTCGCAATTAATTGGCACGTAATGAATTGACCAAGTTTGACGAGTCTGCATGGACGAATTATCCCTGCAAGCTTCTTTTCTAATTGCCTAATCCGCGTGTTGTCAATGCTAACGAGATAAGAGAAAAGAGAAATCACCATCGCAGTTATTTTATAACCAAGAAGCGTTGCAAATGCATTGCTAAGCCATAGTTGAGGCCACTCCTTTGGGCTGACGAGACTCTCGATGCACTGTTTTGTCAGTTGGCTCGATATTATCTTATGTATCTCTAATCGGCGGCCGTGAAAATGAAAATTCAATCGGTAATAGATATCTCTGAAATTCATGTTTCCAAATGTAATAAGACATTTATGTCGAGAGTTCTGTCATATTCTGATATATTTCAGGTGATCACGAATAATAAAATAATTCGGCATGATTAAGAACTCGATGTGTGAAAAATTCTACCTATTCAACTTAACTTCGGTGACAAACAACTTTGTATGTCCAGTGTGTGACCGAGTGGACTCGCAACAAATACACTGAATTTCTAAATACGAGAAAATGTTTTTTGTCGTCTTCATAATTTTATAATGATGTAAATTACCTGAAAACTGTGAATCTCCAGGCTCCCACGGCTTTACTCTTTAAATTTGAATCCACGATGATAAGGTTTGAATTACTTTCCCACAAATTATTTGTATAATTTTTCAAAAAACTTTGAGCATCTAAAGCAATGCTTGTGATAGGATATACATATACTAATGCAGTCAAGTTCATATATAATTTGATGTCATCGTGCGACATATAATTTTGGGGTGTGCCAATTGCGAATGTTACGAGATAGGTTGACATCACCGGTGTAGGTTCAAATATCGTTATTTGGCTCTGATGCAACATTATTTCGTCCATAATCGGCATACAGGAGTGAACATGGAATTTATACGCATGCTCAATGGAGATTTTGAAGATCGCTTTGAACGTTGGCTCGTCCCAGCATGGAAACATGCTTCGAGCACCAATCAGTTCGAAATCTGTTATATACGGCCACCTAATCACATTTCAACAATATTTCATCACATTCACAGAACAACCAATTTTTGAAACATCGTTAATCGCTCTAATTCCATGTTATTATAGCATTATATATGATTTTGACAGCGTTAGCGACATTATTTCTTTTAGCAGAATATTCCAATAAATTTTACAAAATTTTTGATAGATCAGTATGTTGATAACGCATAACAACCCATGACAACGCGCCGGAGAATTTTTAGTTTATGTTATTTATACGCGAGAAACTTATTTACTTTTTCGAAACTGACCGAACTTAGCAAGGCGTTTTAACACTCCTTCAATTCTTTCACATCGCATGAAATATGAAATTATACATATAAAAATATAATTATTATAATTATAATATTATAATTGCAATATATATTAAATTAATTAAAATTAAATTATAACTATAATTATTATAATTATAATTATATTATATTAATTATAATTATATGTATATTATAACTGTACTTATAGAATAATAAAAATAAATAGAGAACGTTATTCGTGTACACAATTGCTTGTCATTTAACGAAATTTAGAAACGACAAACGCCACGCGAATGTAAATAGTGCAAAAAACAACTTTTTATTCTTGTTTATCTTTTACTCACTTGCCAACCAGTCTCGGGTCATTATTGGATTCATACTTATATTCAGTGTACTGTGTAGAAGTGGTATATACCATGCTTAACGTGTAATTTCCAGGATATAAAGTCTCGTAAAAATCGAAAGCACAAATCTGTATCTGTTCCGAGTAATGAAGTGCCTGAGGTTTTAAGGACATATCCTCGTTATTGACTTTTGACTTATTGACGTTCGACAGTCTTATCGTATCGGGGAAAATGTACAACTCGCGAGCATGCAAAATAATATTTGTGGTTGCACGAGTTATTTCGATGGTTATTTTGCATTCCCCATAGAAGCTCCTGTCATGTTGTTGTCTCAGGCCGATATAATAATGTCGAGGTATTACTACTGACGGTAAACGATAATCGATTGCATTGGATGTACACGGACAGAAATCATTCGTTACTTCAACAGCGAATATCGAGCCGAAGCTGAATAATAGTACGACGAACGCCACTCCGGTTTTCCTAGTCATCTATAAAATAATTTTTCTTTTTT